ACGGAGTTTGTTTGGTCAATAAGATCATCGATAATAATCTTCAGAGATAACGTAATTGTATTGATTGTTTTGTGGTCCACAAAGAGAGGTTCAACATAATGTTCAAGTCAAGGTAGTTTTACTATTGTGATCGAGTCATGTATTCCACAAGGTATAGTTTTCAAAGATTGGTATCATAAAACATCTTTTCGTTTAATGAAGAATCGTGGTTTTATTATTTTGATACAAAGAATGGAATTCAATCTTTTCAAGATTGATCAAGCGGGATGTTTCAAGGGTGTAGTTAACACATCAAGTTTGAGTAATTCAAGGATATGAGTCATAAGATATTAAGATAGAATTTGTGAATTACCTTTACTAATCGTAGGTTTTCTTCCTTCAATGTTTCACTCTTTGGAAGTTACTCAAGAGGTCGTTGTCTTAGGAAATAGCCATTTTGACTTTTCGTCTCGGATTTGAACGTGTTTCAGGACAGCGAATCTAACTGTTCAAGAGCCTCAATACGTCATATCGTCAGCAGATTATAGTATTAGCGAGTACATTCTCGTTTGCAGGTAATTTGAATCCATTTTACTGTATGTATTTTGGCTGGTGATAATTACTTTTCCATCAATGGTCCAGTTTTAGAGACTATATATATCACGATTATGGAAACATTAAACATTGACGGTTATTTCAATAACCTTCTCAAATTCTTAGACGATGCGGTGAGGCAGAACTTCATGGCTTCCAGTCAGAGGAAACTTTTTATTTCTTCTCTCTCTGTTGACGAGCTTTTAGACAAACTAGAGTTTGCTAAAGCTTTCCCGGGACATGGGGTTAGTTATGATGAGTTTGTGAATCCTGGGAGATTAGACTTAGAATTGCATTTGTAACATTCCTCATATGATCCAAGTTGTATGTTGAAATGATATTTTCCATAAATATTATTCTAGGCTGTATGACCAGTGCGAGCTATATTTTCTTCATTCTTCAGTCTTTCACTGTTGGTATCACTATTTCACATCTTGTTTTGTATTGTTCCACATCGCGATCTTTCACGTTAATAGTGTATACGAACGAGTCAATTTTCTTAACTATTTGCCTTGTCAGCATAACTTTATTTCACTAATGTTTTCGACGATAAGCAATTAAGTTATTATAACAAGGCATCCGTTCATTCAACAAGGTCGAGCTATCTATAGCTTCTAACAAGCGGGTTCCTTGAATTTGATCGAACAAGTCGTCAGTTTGTTCAAGTTTCTTGATAGGGATTTGTCGGTATCCTGACCGTAAGTCAATCTTAGAGAATACAATGGATTCTCTAAGCTGATCAAATAAGTAATGATACGAGGTAAAGGATAATGAATTGTTCAACTGACAGTAGTTGATATAGAGTCTCATTGATTCGCGTATGAACAAAACAGGTATTCTCCGAGGGAGGAAACACTTGATCAGGTGATTCTTTGTCAGGAAGTCATTGATGGAAACACGATCAATACAGAGTTACGAATATTGGTCCTTTCTAGGATCAAGATTGACAGAGAATTCAATTCCTCGGAGTCGTGAAATATTAGACATTTCATATCAGAGAGGTGACATACTTTTGGTATGTTCCTTCAGTTCAGATGTTTCTTTTTGGGTATCACACGAATAGACTCCACACTTGAGATGTTTTCACATATATATTCGGGATCAACTTGGTCGGTTTAGAAATCGGCTTTGCTTTCACCTCTATAAGGTTACCATCATTGGTCTTCAGTTGAGGAATTCTTCATCACAAGTTGACAACAGCAACGACGTTTAGTCAGTTAATGCATACTAAGGATAATGTCGATTTCCTTGTATGGTACTTCAACGATGTTTTACAAAGAATTGCCGTTTAACGAACGATTTCGATTCACATTAAGTAATCGCATAATGTGTCCTAATGAGTCAAACAATAGTATCAGATACTTTAGATAAAAGAGTTTATTGATTCTAAACGTTCGTGTTTGAATCAGCAATTAGATCGTCTTGAGTCCACATGAGGATCTTTGACATCGGCTTCACAGATGTTTCTCAACATTTATTGTTTCTTCATAGTCGTCTCACTTTCGTACAATTTTGCGATGCAGATCAGTCTCGTCATTTGCGATGCGAAGTGTACGTTAATAACGTATCAGGAGATTATAAATATATCGTTTATTCTTTCGTCTCTTCACCGAGTACAAAAGTTCAACTAGAGTCTACGCTCGATACGGTTTCAGTACTAATCAATTGTTATTTAAGGAGAATTATAATAGAGTCATTATTTACCAAGTAAATTCTCATACCTTTTTCCTGGAGTAGAGGGATGCGAGAGTCGTGGACGTGATTGAATATTTTTTTTAATCAAGTTTCGATCTGAGGATCGGGTTTAAAACCATTTGCTCTGATACCAAACTGTAACACCGTAATCCGTCCAGGTCTGCAGCCCCTTTCAGATTAAAGTATTAACTTGGTTATCGTAAAAATTTAAAACATTTCAAACACTTTTATTTATCACAATAATATTTTTCATAATATAAACAGTACGGAGTTTTCAATATTGCGGAAGCTTAACAAATCATAATACAAACATAATTTATTAGTGTTCTTTAATTGAAAACCATCACATCCATTCTGACAATCTCGCCTCCGTCTGCCTCCAGGATCACGTCACTTCATTAACCTGCGTGTAGCAAATAAAACATACTACACGCTCAGCATTGAAGCTGAGTAAGCATATCTAATGCATCGAACATCCATATAAACTGAATCTAAATTCATAATCAAATCATTTGATATCATGGACAAAATGTTCAGTTTAGATAATCAATAATTATCAAAAATTATTCATCATGCATTATTTTATATTCACATTCTATGTTCATCAGTCATTCATAATAATTGCAATATTCAATTCAGTATTCATCATTCAATATTTACTCATATTCAATATTCAACATTCAACAATATCCTTAAACTATTCTTAGTCTAAGGCCAATCACTTTAATATTTGTCAACCCTTAAACGAATTCTAGTTTAAAAAATTAAACTATATTCCAATATAAAGTACTCTTAAATAATCCTTAAGCTAGGCCTAGTTTAAGATAAAAGTGTAACACCCCGGCCCGCATGACCCAAACCCGTGAGACAGCGGACCGGTGTGCCACTGAATTGGTATCCGAATTTGCGACATTTTCAAAAGAATTTTAAACAAACGTTCTATCAATACATATAAAAATCCTTCGGAGTAATTTAAAATAATGCGGAAGCCTTTTTTTAAAGTCAAACAACTTGGGATCTTGCCCGAAAACGTAATAAGCATTAAAGTTAATTAAATAAAGCATAATCAACAGATTAAAGAGACAGCCACGCCATCGTACATCTCCTCCTCAATGCCCTCTGGGATCGGCTCTAGGTTCATCTGTCTGATCACCTACGGACAACAAAAAGGAAAACAACGCTATCCGCTCAGCATTGACGCTGAGTGGTACTCCATTGTAGCACAAGAATAAACATAATAATTCAACAATTAAGATCGTACATATGTTTATCCTTTTAATAAAAATCAATTCAACTTTACATTCGGTTCTTTAAACGGTTGACCAACTGTCAACTTATTTTCTTTCTTTTCAAAACGATTTAGGTGTTACGGGTTTCCCATTAACTCTTTGACCACCGGTCAAACCAATTTAGACTTTCACCAAAGTCAAACCACTTAACATTTATTGCCTATGACGGAGATAGCCTCAATCCGTAATACCGAAGATGGCCTCAATTCGGTGGAGGTAGGATCCCTCGGGCGATGGCCTCAAACCCAAGATCGCAGACCCTCATGCGCACGTCTTAACCTCACTGACCAGGCCCTGCAGCTGCCCGAGCAATGGCCAGTTTCTATGTTCAACACAATAAACCAATTGACCTTAATCACCGATTAGAATTAATTAATTAACTTAACTAATTCATTAAAGTCTTGGATTTAACCATCCAGTTAAACCTACGACAACAGAATATCCAGTCAAAGTCCAAGTCAAACAGGACCTAACCCAAGTCAAAGTCAAACCTGTTCAGTCAATTCACAATCCTCAACAATTCAATTCAACAATCAATTTAATTCAATTAACCAGTTTAGCCAAATTATAGCATAAACACATATAACGATCCAAACCATTAAATCTATTCTAAATGCTATTAACTTCATAGTACGGACCTGGTTTACGCCGAAATCGAATTGATAGCTCGAACGGAAGGCAAATCAACGAAATCAACCGAACGGGTCAAATCGAGTCAAAATACGAAATCGACCAATCAATCCGGCGTGGAGGTTAATCTGCCGGCGATATCAACTCGGGGCAGCGGCCGGATGCGGCGACGGTGACGGACGCCGGCGACAGTGGCGTAGCGGCAGCTCGAGAGCGGTGAGCAGCGACTGGCGGCGCTGCAATCGACGGCGGCGGACGACCGACGAAGGCGGAACAGCGGCGTTGCACTCGACGGCGAGGATGGCCGCTGTGCTAAGGGCGACGGCGGCGCTCGATTCCGGCGAGGGTGAAACAGCGGCGTCCGGTGTTTGGCGACGTCCTCCGTTTGGCGTGGCGGCGCTGCACCCGTCGGCGATGATGGCGGCGGCTACTGGCGAAGGAAGCAGCGGCGGCGACCGGCTGGGGAAGGGCGACGCTGGGCAGCGACTGGCGGCGGCGAGGCTCTGGCTTAAAGCTCTCAAAAGAGTAGAAATGAGAAATGATTAAAGCTCTATGGATGACAAGAACACTCTCTTGAAAATACTTAGTTTTCTCTCAAAATATATCAATTTGAGGAAGAAATGAATGGAGGATTATAACCTCAAGATTGGGGGAGTTTAGGAGTGCTTGTACATTATAAAGATGACCAAGGAAGTGTGTTTAAATAGGAGGTGAAGGAATATATCCGTTGGTCCAAGAAAACAAGCTGTGCAGAAAAGATGCAGCAAAATAATCGATTAATGCATCACCATAATTGATTAACGCATCATAAAAATCGATTAATGCAAGTGAAAAAATCGATTAATTTCACCAGAGCTAAAATCCTTCTGCGCAAAAAGGTGATAATCGATTAAAGCCAAAGGTGTTAATCGATTAGTTCCTTCTAGACGCGATAATTGATTAATTCCAGAGGTAAAATCGATTATTGCAACAACAATGCCCAGACACGAAGAACACAAGCATGTGGGCGAGGTGAACGACAAAATGGAGTTTATGTAATTGTTTCCAACAAGAATATCAGGGGTAAGGCTCCCCATCACCTCAAACATAATTCAAAAATAATCTTTTAACAAATCAAGGATATTTGGAGTGTAGAAATTGAGTCCCAAAAATATTTTGTGTGTCTAACGAAATACACGAAAAATATTTGAATAAATTAATTTTGTTTACCAAAAATATTTTATAATATCAAATTAAATATTTTGATAAATGTTTGACACACTTTTTGTAATTGACTCAATAAATCTATTTTGAACAGTTAAAAAGATTTTTTGTAACGCCCCAAAATATACCCTAAAATTTATTGAATTAAATATTCAATTAAACAAAATTTGTTTTGATTAAAATAAATTGTTGTTGGGATTTGGGCTTGAATAAAATATATATTGATATCCAATAAACATAATTGGGATAAATCTTATAGAGATAAATCCAACATGTTGATTTATTGTGTGATCTTGATTGAGAACCTGAGTACAGACCCAAATTAAGAATAAATGAAGAAATTGTTTATAATGTGAACTTTGAAATGATTTATTGAAATAAATCATGGGAATAAATTATATGAATTAAATGTGAGAACCTTTTTGAATAAAGGCCAATTTTGACTCTGTCAAAGTCAACCACCCAAAAATATGATGTCGGAAAAAGTATAACGAATAAATATAAAAATTATATCGTTGGATAGAGTTTAATTGCACGATCGCAACGGTGCAAATGGATTTCAATTCGTAGAAAGTTGTACCAAAAAGTGTACCCGACTGGAACCAAAATTAGTCCCAATCAGAGAGTAACGTGCTGAGTCTCCTTAAGTCGCACTATCGCCGAAAGAAGAACGTGAAGTTCCTACGCAGCATCTACTCAGACTTTGTTTCCTTCTTCTTCATCTTCCCTATAAAAGGATAAGCTAACTCCCTAATTCCTTCACCATTCTCCTTCAAATAAACTCGGAGAGAAAGCTGTGAGTGTGGAGAATGAAGTTGTGCTGTCAATTTGGTGTGAAGTCGCCGGAACAAGCCACAATCTTTGCCGGAAGTTTCGCCGGAAAATATTCAAAACCTTCATTTACCTTCGAGGTAAGCCCGTAGATATATCTAAAGATTAGAATGTTCATATAGGTTGTTTTTACGTTCATAAATGGTCATTTGGTTGAGTTTTGTGTTCGACGTGTTTGAAGAACCAAGAATCATAAACATTGAATTTGATGTTAAAAATATATTTTGATGATCCTAAAATGATCTATGAACCTTGGAGAACATTTCTATATAATTTAATTGAAGTTTGGTGTTTTAAAACCATAATA